CTGCCTGCATTTCTAAGGGGGAGCTTTACTGTAGGAAATGGGGAGGGGTGCCACTGAAGGCATTTGAGGGTCATGGGGCACCTGTATGAAGATACACATGGGTGCAGTGTAGCTGGTGGTCAGTGAGAAGGCTGGAATGGAGAGATGTGAAACTGGAGGTCGTTAGGGAGGTGTCAGCCAACAGCTCAGGAGGGAGATGACAGCGGCCTGTGGTTATGTACTTAGTTTGATTTTGAGAGTATGTTTATTAAAGCTGGGGACAGTGAAACAAGGAAGGGCTTAGGATAGAAGGAGCAACAGGAGAGAGCCTAGGCGGGGCTGCTTTGGCTCTCTGGAAATGTTATGGGAAAGAAATGAACCTAGGCGGGGCTGCTTTGGCTCACCAGGAAGTCAGAGAAAAGGGGGCCTTGGGGACAGATTCAGGGGGTAAGCCCAGGATGAACTGCCACTGCCCATTGCTCCCCTGGTTGCAAGTCTTGTGGGACCCTTAGAGTGTAGGATATGAACGCCTGAGAGGGAAGGAAGGCCTGAGCAGGGGCCTGATTTAGATTAGTGAGTTAGAATGAACTGGCCTTGGGTGGGACAAGGACAGGGGAGAGGGAGGAGTCAAGGACACCTCAGCTCCCAGCCTCATGACTACATTCTCATGCATTGCTGGGAAAGAAGGAGTGAAGGCCAAGCTGGTTGTGCAGGGGGTAGGTGGAGGGAAGCTGCTGGGCTTGATTTACAGGATATGGGATGGGACAGAGAAACCTAGCAGATCAGCTCGATGCTGCACAAGTTACATGTCTCATCAGGCCCCAATTCCTTTCCAGGGCGGGGCCCCTTTGGAGAAACTCTTACCAGCGTCTGACACTTCCCTTGACTAAGCCTGAGGGGAGGCACCCAGCAGAGGGGAGTGACCCTCCCAAAGTCAAAGGAACAGGTCATGGGACTGTGGCAGGACAGGCAGAAACCTGAAGCCATGAGCTGTGGAAAGGAAAATGTTACAACCCTCTCCCCTCCCCCTACCCGGTAGGTCAACTACCCATGAGCCAAACAGACTCACCATAAATGCCTGCTCATCTGGAATGTGGCCTTGGGAGGGAGGGACCAGTGCAGAAACCATGAAGCCTACAAAGAAACAGGCCAACCACTCATCTACTCAGGCCATGAACTTTTCAGAGCAATTCTCTCCCTTTTATCTCACTGAGAAGTAGAACTTAAAGAAGGTATGACCATAAATATCTCTATTTTACAGATGAAGAAACAGATAGAGAGATGAGGTGACTTGCTTAAGGTCTCATCATAGCTGGACAGTGACAGTGTAAGAAGACTGGCCCCCAGGCAGCCTTTAGGACACCAGTGGGCCTTTGAAATGTCCTTTACTGCTGTTGGCCTCCTTCCCTCCCTGCCAGCTGACCCGGAGGTTGGAAGCAATATCTAAGTTCCCATCTGTGTGTCTCTTTAGCTGACTCCTCCTCCCTGGGCCTGTGCATACCTCACTTCAGCTACCCGGGCACCTGGTCCTGGAGACATTTCTTCTCTGGCCACCAGCTGCCACCTTATGGGCCTCAGCTTGTGAGTAGGAGAAGCCAGCCCTGGAAACACCCTTCATGAACATCACATCCACCTATTTTGTTGTTCAGAGGTTGAAACTGAGGTCCAGAGAGGGAAATGACTTGTCCAAGGCCACAAAACTTGCTAGGGACAGAGGGGAGACCAGAGCCATGGCTGCTGACCCCTGACTAAGAGTCCCCTGTTCCTCCTCCCTCCCCTCCTCTCCCTTCTTCTCTCTGGCCCTTCAAGCTGGGCATTTAGGCTCTCAGATGAGGTCTGTAGGAGCTGCTTGCTATGAGACAGGTTCCTTTTGCCCTCCCTGAGCGGTAACTTCTCTCATGGCTTTCTGCAGAGACGTCTGGTGGTGGCCACAGGGGGGCAGTAGCAAGAGGGATGGGAAGTTGAACCTGCCAAGGTCGGGGATGGGAGGGAGAGAGGGGTCTCCAGGAGCTGCCCCAGGAACCTGAGCAACTGGGTCTGACATTATGAAGTCTCAGCTTTGAGGATTCCACAAAGGGTCCTTCTAGCCTCAGGAATGAATTTTTGGTCTCCCAGCTCTCCCCAAAGAGCCCCCATTCTTTCGCTCATTTATTTATTCATCAGTCACTGATGGAGCACTTACCCTGAGCCTCCCCCTGAGCTGGCACCACTTGATATGCTTTCCAGCAGTCTGTGCAGTTGCGTACAGTGTTGGGGGGAGGACCACAAGGAAGGGGTGACTACTGCCTCCCGAGGCAGGGCCTGCATGTCCAGGAGGCCAGCCTGCGGGGGGGAAACAGCCAGCTTTAGAGACACACAGACCCAGGTCTACCACTTGTAGCTCCTGACTTTGAGGCAAGTCTTTCAATCTCCTTTTTAATGTAAACATCCACCTTTATCACTAAGATTGTTAAAAAAAACAGTAAAATGAAATCAATAAATGACTCTTTAATAGTATTTGAAGTGTGATTAGTTCCCCAGCTCCAAGGTTTACATTCACTGCAAAATAATCTAACAGAAAGACAAAAATATTTCTCTAAATCAAGAATCTTTGTTAAAAAACTCCTGCCCTGGCCTGTGTGGCTCAGTTGGTTGGGTGTCATCCTGTGCACTGAAAGGGTGCCGGTTGGATTCCCAGTCAGGGCACAGGCCTGGGTTGTGGGCTCCTCCCCCAGTAAGGGGCATGCTGGAGGGAGCCAATTGATGTTGCTCTCACATGGATGTTTCTCTTTCTCTCCCTCTCCCTTTCTCTCTCTCTAAAAATCAATAACAAATCTTTTTTTAATTTTTAATTTTATTTATTTTCTTTTTAAAAGGTCTCTAGAAGCTCCAATGAAGTAGATCTTTATTTTTAAAATTTAATTTAATTTAATTTTATCCTCACCAGAGGATTCCCCCCCCATTTCTTTTTCAGAGAGAGTGGAGGGGAGAGAGACAGAGAAACATCCATTGGTTGCCTCCTGCACCCACCCCAACTGCGTGCCAGGGATTGAGCCTGCAACCGAGGTACATGCCCTTGGCTGGAATAGAATTTGGGATCCTTCAGTCTGAGGGTGAACGCTCTAACCACTGAACAAATCGGCTAGGGCTAAAAAATCTTTTTTAAAAAAAATTATCTTTATTGTTGAAAGTATTACAGATGTCCTCCCTTCCCCCCCATTGATCCCCTCCACCCTCCATCCACCCCACTCCTGGCCTTCCCCATACTATTGTCTGTGTCCAAGGGTTATGCATTTATGCATATAAGTTATCTGATTAATCTCTCCCCACCCACTCTCCCACCCCCCGCCTTCCCTCTGAGATCCCTCAGTCTGTTCCATGCTTCTAAGTCTCTGGATCTGTTTTGTTTATCAGTTTATTTTGTTCATTAGATTCCACCTATGAGTGAGATCATGTGATGTTTGTCTTTCTCTGCCTGACTTATTTCACTTAGCATAATTTTCTCCAGGTCCCTCCATGCTGTCCCAAAGGGTAGGAGATCCTTCTTTTTTTACAGCTGCGTAGTATTCCATGGTATGAATGTCCCACAGCTTTTTATCCACTCACCTACTGATGGGCACTTGGGCCATTTCCAGATCTTAGCTATTGGAAATTGCGCTGCTGTGAACATAGGGGTGCATATATTCTTTCTGATCGGTGTTTCGGGTTTCTTAGGATATATTCCTAGAAGTGGGATCAATGGGTCAAATGGCAGTTTCATATTTAAATTTTTGAGGAAACTCCATACTGCTTTCCATGGTGGCTGCACCAGTCTGCATTCCCACCAGCAGTGTACCAGGGCTCCCCTTTTTCCACATCCTCGCCAGCACCAGCCAACAGAGCCACTGGGCCAGGGCTTAACGTATATTGTCCTCATTTTCTTAACAGAACCCTGTGAGGTGGGAATTACCAATGATGAACTCAGGGTGACTTGCTGAGGGTCACATCCCTGTGAAGTGTCAAAGCTGGGATTAAACTCCACTCTGTGCTGCCTTCTAAGTGCATTGAGTGCAGCACTTTCAGTGTTAAAAAAAAAAAAAGACCTTCCTGAAGTCCATTGCTTTTGCATCTTGCCACTGACCACTCTTTCCTTAGCTTCTGTGCCATCTTTTCAGTATTCAGGAAATTAATGGTTCCTCGAAGCAGGCCTCCACACCTCACTTTTTCTCTTTGCATGACTTTATAGCTCCTAAAATGGAAGCAGTAATGGGTTACAGGCTCTGTTTTGACAAATTCAGAGAAATGCTGGACAGTGAGTCATGGCTAAAGACAGTTCCACTTACTCAAAGGAGACTGGCTGTGAGCTGCTGTGGGCAGGGGTGGAACTGGGAATTCAGGGAGGGGACAGATCACGACCACTAACTTCTGCCCCGAACTCCTGGCTGGGATGTGGACTTCAGATAAAACTAGGTAATATCGGCCAGGGGTGGCTTTCAGGCCCCTTTTAAACCTATACTATTGATGTCATTCCAAGCTCCCTCGCCTCCGAACACCTTTGGAGAGGATGCTGCGACTAGAAAAGCGATGTAAGCTTCCTCGCTAGGCTTAAAGGGCCGGACTGTAGTGGCCTCTCCAGTTATAAAAGCCTGTTTAACAATAAAGTAGCGTGTGTGCGATTAAGCTCCTCCCCAGCGTGACGGCCTCAGACCACCCTCTGGTGCTCTCGCTTCGTTTCATCTCCAGAAAGATCTGTTTTCACAGCGGGGCCAATATAGATTTGCATGAGCACATTCGTTGTAATGCACACATGCAAAGGCGGTTTGGAAAACTTCTTGCACCGGATCATGTTTGCTCTTTTTAAATAATATCCGTAAGCTTGCGAGGAAGGGAACGTGAGGCTCACGCCAGGAAACTTGAAGACGCCCCCTCCCCTAAGGGGAAAATAGTTGCACCCAGTCCCCGCCTTGGCTCGTCTGCTAAGGAGGCGGGGCTGTGACGTCAGGTTCTGGGCGGGGCCGGACTGTTCTAAATGAGCGCTGGGAGGGGAGCTCCTTCCGCGGAGGAAGCCGCCCTGGGAATGAGCCTTCTTTGCCTTCAGATTTAATTTGTTTGGACGTTAATTACATCGGGCGAAAGTGCGTATGCGGGCTGGCAGCCCTCCGCAGAGCCGCGGGCAAGGCGCGGCGAGCGCTCTGCCTGTCGCCGCTCCACCTAGTGGCCTCATCCATTTGGCGCCGGCGGCCCAGTTTAAGGGCAGGGAGTAGTGTCGCCTTTAGGGGTCGCAAAGTGTGGGGGCCCCATGGCCCCGCCGGGAGGAAGCCCTCGGCTGGTGCTGCTGTTCAGCGGGAAGAGGAAATCCGGGAAGGACTTCGTGACCGAGGCGCTGCAGAGCAGGTGGGGAGGGAGGCGGGCGGAGAGGGAAGAGGGAGGGGGACGCCCTGCGTCACGTGACTCGGGGGTGTGTTTGAGCGTGGAGCGAGCTTTCGAGTGGGGGGTCCTCGGTTACAGGTGGGAGGAGCACTGAGCGTCGGGAAGTGCGGGGATTGCCACCAGCACAGAAAACGGCAGTCTACACACATCCACCTGAAAGAACCAAGCGAATACCCCTCCAAAGACTAAGCTGGAGGTCCCTCTCGCCAAGAAGCATGAACAGTTACTACTGAGGTGCTTTTTGCGCCCCATGCCTAATCCACGAAACAGGGTTGGGAGCCGGCTGTTGCAGTTAAGAAAACTGAGTCACAGGTTTGCCTAAGACCACACCCCAATTGTGTCTGACTCCAAAGACAAATCCTTGCCCAGCACACCACCTAATAGTTGGGGTTTATTGAGCCTTTATTATGTGCCAGGCACTGTGTGTATATATTATCTCATTTAACCCTCCAAACCTTTTTGTTAAGCACTGTGTGTTATTATTAGTATCTCCATCTCACATGAAGAGCCGAGGGTCTGAAAAGTAAAAAAAACACAAACGAAACCCAAACTTGCGGGGTTACAAAGTCATCCTCAGATCCAGGACTCAAACTTTTATCTAGCTCCAAGGAATGGGTTCTTTCTGCTATACCTCACTGTCTCCCCAAATAATAGCTTTCTCTCAGTGTTTTCTCTCAAAGCAAGATGCTCTGTGTGGGAGCGTTTTTGTTCAGGCATGGCATGGGCTGGGAGAGCAGAGGAGCCAGGGCGAAAGCGGGGTGGGACCCCTCTCCTCTTGAAGACCAACCAGTGGGATGGTGGTACCTGGAAGTTGCTTTTGGGCACAACCTGGGTTCTAAGAGGTCAGAGATCACTACCTGAATTTGTTACCATCAAGTATCCACCACCATTTCCTAAGGCATTTCTCCTTGCCTGCAAACACAGAAATCAAATAGCGGACAGAAAGTGTAGGCTCTGGAATTAGACTGCTGAGGTTCAAATCCTGACTCACCACTTACTAGTTTGTGATCTTGTATAAGTTTCTCATCCATTCTGTGCCTCAGTTTTGTTATTTATGGGCCAGGGGTAATAATAGGGTGGTAGTAAGGATGAAAGGAAATAATGCATGCGAAGGGCTTAGAACAATTTTGATAACCCATAAGGGTGCAGGAACTAAATATTGGCTATTAGTTGTGCTTTACCAACACTGGCTTCATTGCTTGCAGTGTTGCTTTGGGTGTCAGTTCTTCTCACTTGACCTTAGTTTTCTCATCTGAAACATGGAAATAATAACACCTAGTTCACCCTAGTTGGTTTGCTCAGTGGTTAGAGCATTAGTCCACGGATCGAAGGGTCCCGGGTTCGGTTCCTGCCAAGGGCATGTACGTCGGTTGTAGGCTCGATCCTGGTTGGGGCCTGTGCGGGAGGCAACCAATTGATATTTCTCTCTCTCTCTCTCTCTCCCTTCCACTCTCTCTGAAAAGCAATGGGGAAAAAAACCTCAGAAGAGGATATAAAAAACCAAAGCAAAACACCTATCTCACTATGTTAGTGTTTAAGTGAATCTGTGAGCATACAGTTTAGTACAATAAGTGGTTGGTTGAGTAAACTGAATTGAATGAATGAATTATTGATCTTGTGGCGACCAAGTCAGTTGAGACTGAGATAACCCTGTGTGAGACGAGTTCAGGGGTCCAGCAGTAACCTAATCTAGCCAGAATATCACACTGTCATTATAATTTTAGTTATTTTACCTGTTAGTTTCAGGACTCCTTCACATTCATTTAAGTTTTGTAATAATCCTGTGATACACAGACCAGAAACTGCTATCCCCATTTACAGATGAGAAAACAGTGTCAAGGAAGTTGAGACCTGACAAAGTTAGATAAATACCAGAAGCAGAAATGGAACTTTAACCCAGGCCTCTGGATCCTTCTGGGGCTTGGAAGGTCCAGGCTAACTGGGTTTGGATCTCTCTGTCCCACAGACTTGGAGCTGACGTCTGTGCTGTCCTCCGGCTCTCCAGTCCACTCAAGGAGCAGTATGCTCAGGTAGGTGGTTGCTCTCTGTGACATCTGGTGGGTCGAAAGGAGTCACTCCCTGGCTTTGGTTGGTGTGGCTGTTGTTTGAGTCACTAGTAGGGCCCCTGTGACCACTGTTGGCAGGCTGGTGGCCAACTCTCGGTTTTCTGTGGGTGGATTTTTGGGGGCATTTTCAGCTTACATGTCTTTCCCATTGGCCTCACTCACTTCAGGCCACCTCCCCAGAGCATGTTCAAGAAAGTACACCCAAGAGAGGCTGGAGAGGCGAGTTGGCAGCTCTGATGCTGTGGAATTAGGGTCTGCACACATTCTCTTACTCAGATAGTGTGACACCACGCAGCAGTGCCTCAGCTGGCCTGCCACAGCCCCCGGAACTCTCCCCTAAGAAATTTAGTTGCATGAATTGTCAAGATATATTTATTATTAAGTGAAAAAACACACACAACAAAACCCACAAGATTTGGAACATTGTATGGAAAATGCTATATAATAATGGGGAAAATCGTAAATATATCTGCTCCTATATTCAGCCATCCCTCAAATATTTATGGGGTGCCTGCATTGTGTTAAACACTGTTCTGGTGCTTGGGATGTGTAAAAAGCTGGGAAGGCCATTGGTGGCCTCCAGGGAGGGGAGTTATGGGCTGGGGGACTGGGGCGGGAGAGAGATTTTTCACTGTGCATGAATGTGTATCTTTTGAATTTTGAACCATGTGGATTTTTATAAAAATAAATAGGATTGTTAAAAATAGGAGCTAAAAAAATAAACAGGAAATCTTAGAACCTTAGACTTAGAAAGAAAATGTGGAGGGTGAGCTTTTTACACAGTGAAGAGTCCCACTGTGGACTGCATTTCTGACCTTGACCTCTAGGTACTTCCAGGCATGGCTCCTTGGTCAGTTAGTCCAAATCTGGCCTTCTGGGGCCACACAAGATGAATTTGTCCCCCTCTTCCATATGACAGCCTTATCTCATGGGGAGCATTCTCCTGTATCACTGAGTCTTCTCTCATCAGCTAAATAGGCCCTGTCATAGACTTGCAGCCTGGGGGATCCTGGGGATAACAGGATAACAGTGCCAGTGGTTTAAACAATTAAAAAAAATTTTTTTTTAGTGAGAACCTTTTTTTTTCCTTTTCTATATCTTTATTGATTTCAGAGAGAGGAAGGGAGAGGGGGAGAGATATAAACATCAATCATATTGATTTCAGAGAGAGTCATTGATTGGCTGCCTCCTGCATGCCCCCGACTGGGGATCGAGCTCATAACCAGTCATGTGCCCTGACTGGGAATCGAACCGTGATTTCCTGGATTCTAGGTCGATGCTCAACCTCTGAGCCATGCCTGGCCAGGCATAGTGAGAACCTTTAGATGGAGAAGTTCTTTGTATTCAGTAGACAGACTAGGAGTGACTCTGGGGTTCGGAGGGTAGGAGAGGCCTTCCCCAGTGGGACCTGGGCAACTCTGAAGGACCCCAGGGCTCCCAGGAGGAATTTGAAAACCGAGGTCTGCTTCCAAAGTTCTCAGATGAGGCCTGGCTCAGACTATTAGCCAGACTGGGGGGTGGGGTAGGATTGGACAGGCAGGAATTTGCTTTTTTCCCCCCAATCCTCACCCGAGGATATTTTTTCCATTGCTTTTCAGAGAGAGCGGAAGAAGGAGAGACAGAGAGAGAGAGGGGGGGGGAGAGAGAGAGAGAGAGACATCAATTGGTTGCCTCCTGCATGTGCCCTGTCCGGGGTTCGGGGATCGAGCCTGCAACCAAGGCATGTGCCTTTGGCCAGAATAGAACCCAGGACCCTTCAGTCCGCGGGCCAATGCTCTAACCACTGAGCCAAACCGGTTAGGGCTCAGATTTCCAACTTTAGTTGAAGGCTAAGCCTATGCAACTGATTTCAGGATTAAGTCGGAAATAATTGGGAAGGTAAAACTGTTGCAAAAACAAACAAACAACAACAAAAAAACCCCACCTTACACATTTAAAAGACAAACTGGAAAAATGTCTGGATTATTTGAGACCTTTCTTCTGTCTGTGTTTGGGATTTCTTCATTTTCAGAGCCCGTTCCCTTGCGGGCCTCTGTCCTGGCAGAAACCTTGTTGATCCTTGCATTGTCCTGGGGGCAGGTGGGTGAGAGAAGGGACAGCCCTTCCTCTGTTTTAGGGGACGCCATTGAGGCTGAGAGGCTGGGGCGTAGACATAATATGCCTTGGGCAGGAGCACAGCCTGGACTTCCAGAGACTCCTGGATGCCAGCACCTACAAGGAGGCCTACCGGAGGGACATGATCCTTTGGGGCGAGAAGAAGCGCCAGGCTGACCCTGGCTTCTTCTGCAGGAAGATTGTGGAGGGCGTCTCGCAGCCGGTCTGGGTAAGAGTCCTGTATGGCAGCATTATGAAAACTCCGTTTCTCCAGCCTTTCCCCAGATAAATCTCAGATGTGTCCATTTCTCTGTTTCCACTGCCACCTCCCCTGGCCTAAGCCCTCACCATCTATCCCCTGGACAGCCTAGTAGCCCCACACTGGTCCGGGATTCAGCTCTTGTTCCCTATGAATCATTCACCACATAGCAGCCAGAGTGACCTTTTAAAAACATAAACCAAGTCATGTCATTCCTTCATCCCACTGTCCTAATGAACAAAACCAAAATCCTTCACATGAACTTTTTGGCCTTGAATGATTGGCTCCTGTTACCCTTTTAGCCTCCTTGCTCTTTAAGCTGCAGCTACATTGGCCTTTTTTCTGTTCCGCAAATAAATTGAGTTCCTTCTGGGCCCTGGTGGGTAGCTCAGTTGGTTAGAGTGTTGTCTCGATACACCAAGGTTACGGGTTTGATCCCCAATCAGGGCACATACAAGAAGCAATTGAGTTACTTCTGAAATCAGGGCCTTTGCACATGTTCTACTTGTCTGGACTGCTCTTTCCTTCCCTCTTCACCTGGTTAGCTCCAGCTCAGCTTCCCTGACACCTCCGCAGGGAAGCCTTCCCTGATACCCAGGTCTTAACTGGTGCTCCCACAGCACCTGCCCTTTTCCTTACACATTCATTTTGGCATTATCTCCTGTATGAAGCCTGGTTCCTGGTGATTTGGAGAAACATTAGTGCAAACATGCAATGAAACCCCTGCCCTCAGGGAGCTTACATTGTAGCTGGGGGTAGAGGGAGGTAGGCCCTAATGTAATAATGGAATCTGTCAGGTGGAGATAAACACTAGGGGGAAAAATAAAGCAGCAATCAGGGAGGGCTGCCTGGAGGAGATGTCTGTTCCAGCTGGTTGGGTGATAATGGGGAATGGGGGTACACTTGTCTGGGCTCTGTAGCCCCCACTAACCTTGTTGTGCTCCTGCTTATTCTCGCTAGGGCTGGGTCTTCCCCTCTTCCCCCCCTTACTCTCAGTGCTCTTTCCTGCTGCTCCCTGCACCATGGCCTGTTGGTCACCTGTCTGTGTCCCATTCCTGCAGCTGGTGAGTGACACACGGAGGATGTCTGATATCCAGTGGTTCCGGGAAGCCTATGGGGCTGTGACGCAGACAGTCCGCGTGGTGGCCTTGGAGCAAAGCCGACAGCAGCGGGGCTGGGTGTTCACACCAGGTGAGCTGCTCACAACCTTTGCCCCCAAGGCTCAGTACACGGGCTGGCCATGCCACCTGTAGACCAGGCCACCTTTCCCATGTTCTAGGTCATCTGCTGTGTCCCTGGCAGGCTGCGGGAGAGTGAATGAGGGATTAGAAAAGGGAATCTGAGACTCAGGAGTGCCCCCTGGTTAGAAAGTGGAGTGGGGTAAAGGCAGGTGTCCTGGGAGAGTAGAGGTTCCCCATGATTTTGGCCTGGTACCCTTACCTGGGCTGTCCTTTCTAGGCCAGTGGGCTTCTGGAGGTCTGAGTTGGACCACCCCCAGCCCAGTGGGGGTTGACAGTGGGTCAGAGGCAGGCCTGACAACTCACTCCTGTTTGATTAACAGAGGGGGGGGCAGGGGCAAGAGGAAGCTGTACTGGGCAGCCTCAGTGGTGCAAGCCCAGGACCTGCTCTGTGGCAATTCAGAGGCACAGTTCAGGCCTCCTCCTGCCCTACTTCACCGTGACTTGGGGAAGTTCAAATCCAGTGGGTACAATCCCTCTTGATGGCTGTTTATCTCTTTGGCACCCACCACAGGCCTGGCCTGCGCTAAGCGCTTTTAAACTCAGTTTACAGACACAGCAAACCTGCCAGGTGATGCTGGTATTAACTCTTCTTGTTGACAAATGAGGATGACGCACACCACCTCCCGTGGATGGAATCAGAGATTTAGGGATAGAAAGCAGGCAGCCCACCGAGCTTTACATAAAGTGAAAATGCAGTGCCCTTTGGGTTGCCTGTGGCTTTAGATGACCCAGTTCACCCTCTGTAGGAAGTGGTGAGTGAAGGGTTTAGTCAGCAGAACCCTCTGAGGGCTCAGGTGGCTGTGGGCTACTGATCCTTCTCTCAGGGTGTTTCAGGGGGTCGGGAAGTACCCTCCCTGGGGTGAGTGGAGCTTGGCTCTGGAGTGGAAGAGGAGAGGCCAAGAGAGGGCGGCTCCATCTGGGGCCAGGAGGCCTCCATGCCCGATGCCTGGTGTTTGGAGGGAACAGGCTTGACCTCTCCATGCCTCCTCCATAGGAGTGGACGATGGTGAGTCAGAATGTGGCCTGGACAACTTTGGGGACTTCGATTGGGTCATCGAGAACCATGGAGATGAGCAGCGCCTGGAGGAGCAGTTGGAGAACCTGGTAGAATTTGTCCACTCCAGACTTTAGTTGTCAGGTTCTAGGAGCACCAGAAGCTGCTGGGGTGAGGATGGGGCTGACTCTGCCAGACATGTGGTTTCTAATGTCAGCCAAGGAGGGGAGCACACAGAGGGCCTGGTC